ATATATATTCTTTTTGAGTAATTTATTATGTAATAATAAAATAAATTATAAATCATAAATAAACAAAAAATGAGTTTATATTAGTTTTGATTTTTTAATTGATTTTTGCTGATTGTTGACCTATTTTAAGCTGATTTATGCCGAACTTTGACCAATTTTTAACATAAATGCTAATTGATAACCGATTTTCTATTTATTCAAAGTGCTGATTTTTTGGTAATGATCAGCAGAATTAGACTATATTTTGGCCAACTTTCGGCATTTTAAGTGTAATGAATTGTATTATTTTGCCTAATGATATATTAAATAACTACCAATCGTTAATGTCGAATGTTTTTTTGTGTAGCATGGAAATGGGCAACTTCGGCTATACTAAAATGCTGATTGTTTTGGCAATGATTGGCAGAAATTAGACTATATTTCAGCCAACATTAGGCACTTTAAAAAAGTGACGAAATGGATTATTTCGATTAGTGTATAGATATTTTTCTTTTTGCATAGGTGTGATCCAAATATGTGGTATCTTTCGTTTACTTGCTATTAACATTATTGACTTGACAGCAAACCACAAAGAATTTATATTGGCAAAGTTGTATGGAAGATCCTTAAATTAGTCTAGATTATGATGATTATAATGAAAGTTAGTATATTTGGCAAAGTGAGACCACCAAGTTGAGTTCATAGCTTTAAATTAGGAACATGACATTTATTCATTAAAGATTATTATGCAATGTGGGATTGATGTCAAATATCAGTAAAACTAGCAAAGACAATACTATGGTCTGATTTGTACATATCAGTAGTATCAATATATGAATAAAGAAAATCTGAATGAGATTTGAAGAGGCAAAAATTGAGTTAATACGTGTGTTTGTTTGTTTTGAAAAAAATGTGGGTTGGGATATATCATGACAAATGTCATATAAATCTAAAAAATTCAGAGCGAAAATTCTTTGATAAAAATCGTATCTCCAATGTAAGGTTTGATCTTCATTGATGTAGGACCAATATTTGTCAAGGATTGCATTAAAATCACTTAGAAAAATGATTTTAAAATCTGATTTCAGGCCATCCTTGATGTGATCGAGAATTGTTCTATGTAGTTTAAGGCGTTCATTTTTTGTTGAAGAGCTGCGATTAGCATGTAAATAAATTGAGAAGATTCTTAGTTTGATGTGTTCAATAAGAAAAAGATCTATGTAATAAAACGGTCACTATCTAAAAAGGTTTTTTATAAATAATTTGTCCATATGCATTTTATAAGAAGGCCAACGTCAGTATGATATTAATAGTAAAACTCCAAAAAGAAGAGAAATTGGGATTGTGCTTGTTTTTGTAAGTTTGGTTTGATCTGTGACAAGTTTCAGTTAAACTGACAAAATCTGTGTTGAAATTTAAAAAAGTATCTTTGATTAATTTACTTTTTAAGTCATATTGTAAGAAGTAGACGTTATAGGTAGTAAAGGTAATGTTAGGTGATCTATTTGTATTATTAATTTCATTATTTTGGATGTCTATATTATGTGAAGGAGTAATATTTTTGTAATTATTAATCATGATAGAAGTTGGAGGAAAGTGTGACGATTATTAGGATAATTTCTCAGAGAGAAATTAAAATTATGCTATCATGAGATTCATTTGTTCTTGCTAGGCTTTAATGATAAAATTTTGTTCTTCAATGGTATTTTGAAGTTTTAAGTTAATGAGACTAAGGTCAGAGTGAGTGTTATCGTAAGTAGAAGAGTCATTCAAATGAGAATGTTTATTGTCATGAGAGGTAGAACTTGGTTTAGGAAATATTGGAGTGACAGGTAATGGAGTGATGGGAGTAATAGGTAAAGAAGAAGGTGAAGCTAACTGTGAACGTTCTAATTTTGTAATTTGAACTTGAAATCAGACATGGCTTTTTTCATGTTTGACAGCATACTAAGAATTTGATCAAGCTTTTTGTTAGTATCATTTGTGTTATTGGGATTATGAATGGAGTTATCAACAGTTTTTGGATTAGGGCCAGTATCTTTGTTTTTTCCTTTATTATTTCCAGAAAGAGCATCGGAATAATTAAGATTTAGATCACGTGATGAAAATCTTTAGTTTTTATTATCATTATTATTTTTTAGAATTAAAGTACGTGAATCAGCAGGTTTAAATCTGTTATAAAGTTTTTAAACAGAGGTAAATGTGAATGTTATTTCTTAATTTCAGTTGATTTCTTTTCAGGGGAAGATAAAATTTACAGGCATTTTATAACAATGTGGTCAGGTGAGTCACACTTATGACAACATTTTGATTCAGCAGGACACTATTGTAAGTTATTACCCTTAAAAGCATAACCAAATTTGATAGCGTCATTTAGGATTTCAGGAGTTTCAAAGTAAAGAATCACAAAGGGTCGTGGTTTATAATTATTAGAGCGTAGGATGTAACAAGCTTTGATTTTGTAGCAAGAATAATATCTTGTAAGTCACGTGCAGTTGTTCCAAAAGGAAGATTGGTTAATTTGATACAAATATCATTTCTTTGTTTAATTTGTTCAGGAGAAAGATCTGCAGGATAAACTCTTATGCAGTTATTATAAAGATAACGTAACTATTGGGTGTAAAATAATTGGACAGCTTGTGGATCATCGTAGGTAATATAAGCATGTTGCTAGAGACCACGAGTTTGTAACTTAACATTAGTTATGTTTTTGTATTTAGCGAAGATTAATGTGAGTATGTCTTTTTTAACATTTAGGTAGATGTCAGTAACATGCAGGATGCGTTACTGGAATTGCATATTTTCTTTGTAAAATTGATATTCAATAAACTGGTCAATTCTCAAATCAGAAAATTTCATATTAAGGGTTGAAGTTAGAGTAATCTGATTATCAAAATAGATGATTAATGATCTAACAAAATTAACGCGTTAAACGTTAGTCCCTTAAACATGTCATCTTAGCGAAAAGGCTATTGATGGTTTTAATAATAGTCACAGTAGGAAGTTCACGAGCAGATTTTTTGATAGTAGTTGCGTAGGCGAAAGGAGTTAGACGAGGAATAACAGTAAAATTAAAATTTTCAGTGTCTATACTGTTATCGTCTTTAATAGGAACATATTCGTTCTTGTTCAAAACATTAGGTGAAGATTTATCTTTCAAGAGTTGAAAAGTGTCTTTGATAATTTCCTCGTTGAGTAAAAAACTATTGTTTGAGACAGCATCTGAGGAAAAGGCTACAGGTTCTGGTTGTTTTTCTTTAGGGTTATAACGAAACTTATTTTTTGGGACAGTTTGTTTTCCAGTTCCAGTTCGTTTGTTACCCATTTTATCAGTTTGAAAAATTTATATAAAACTCTTTCGAAAATAAAGGTGTTGTAAAAGTGAAGAATAAAACTAACTAACAGAGTTGTAAAATATTGAAGTAAATAGGGTGAAACAATTTTATTTTCTAAAAAAATTTTTGTTTCCAAAAAATTTTGGGAGAGAAAGAGAAAGAGTTTTTTTTTTTATATATAAATATGGTTAGATGCATTTTTATATAATATTGCAATGATCTTCTTTATCCAATTTGGACGAATTTTAGCTTGTTAGAATCATGGCACTGGGGAGAATCTGAATACAGTATCAGTTTTTGGGTAGTCAGCCTACTGAAAAATTTTTTCTTCACTTAAATTTCATTAAGTAAGATTTTTGAGTTATATCGCTAAATTGCGCAAAATTGATCTTAATAATCACACTTCAAAGTTTTACTGAATATTAGCTAGGTTTTGAGGTTTAAAATAAAATCATGTTTCTAGCCTTCGTAGTTGGTGAGTTATAAGCTTTTAAAGTCAAGCAACTCTACTTGCGTTTCTTTTGTAAGCCACTATATATTCCCAAACAGCTGAAATAGTTTTTCCTTTATTCTTATCAATATTAAGTATATTTGTGCTATTTTCCTTTTGTTATTCATAGAGCTTCGAACAGGTCAGATCAGGTTGGGTAATTGATTTAACCTGACCTGATAAGGTCAGGTTAGGTCAGACATAAATTGACCTGAATTAAATATATATTTAACCCAACCTGACCTGTCTAAAAAAGGAAACTAAACAATTATTAATTTGTTTAATATTTTTTTTAAAAAATATAAAAAAATATTGATACATTTTTACATTTGATTATTTTTCAAAAAAAAAAGATACTAATATAATTACTTTAACAGCAGAATTTAAAATTACAAGTTGTGATAAATCTGCAAATCAGATGACTGTTAATACAATTATGAAAATGTTTATAACTTTATAACCATTAATCCAATCATAATAAAATCTTATATATACATATTTTCAAACCCGCTGACCAACTTTTCTTATATGATCAAAGTTGATTTTCTTAACCAAAATACTTAAATTGCATTTTAAATTCACTAAACGAATAAAAAAAATAAAATATTTTGTGAGATAATACAATCACGAAAAACATTTATAAATTTACAACTATTAATCCAATCATAATAAAATTTATATACACATATTTTCGAATCTACTGAGCAACTTTACTTATGTGTCAAAAGTCGATTTCCTTTGATCAAAGTAAAGATATGATCCTATCAAATCCGAATAATCTGAATTATATTTGATCAAAAAAATTGAATCTGTATGCGGATCCTTATCCGTTCAATAAAAAAATTCTATCTGCACAATTATACAGATTGTTCATATCATCTGAATTTGACTGAATTTGACTGAATTGAGTAGATTTTGACCAGATTGGCCAGATTTTGAATGGATTATTGTAGTACAATGATTCTTTTTTGTTACTAAAATTTTTTTTTGTTCTATTTTTTACTTATAATAATAATTAGTTTATTATTATTATTATTATTATTATTATTATTATTATTATTATTACAGTATTAAAATATTAACTATTATATTTAATATTTATATAATATTAATTACTTGGTTTTCAGGTGCTTTGTTTTTTGGTGGTTTGTATATACTATCTAAAATATTATAATTTCTTTTTAAAAATATCATTCTTTTAAAAAACTCTGAACTAATGCATATTTTTTTAGAACTTATTAATTTCTACAATCTGAAAATAACCTTTCACTAGAAGTTAAAGTAACACATATTAAAAGATAGGCACATATCAGTTCACTTAATACCAGAAACCTTTCCTTATTGATTCCCTACCAAAATAATGATTAGTATTGAAAAATACTTGTGAAATAGCAAGGTACTCATTAAGTTCATTTTGACTAATAGATAAAAGGCGTTTAAAAATATCAAAAAGCTTTGCCTGATAAAGTGTAGATGGTATTGATATAGGAAAAGTGTAAAAGGTATAGGAGATTGTGAAGACTGTAAAGATTGTGAAGGTAAACATGATGACATACTAAATTTCATATCATCATATTTTCTTTTAAAAAGCAAAGAGTTCATTTTATTTCATAAGATGCAAAATCAAGCTTTTTAATCTGAGGATTAAGAATTGATGGTAGGTATGATATCTTACGATTATTATTCTAATAAAAAAGCATTGTTTGATATAAAGATGGTAACAACAATTATTTTATTATGTTGCAACAAATAAAAAATTAATTAAATGTTATAACATGATTAACT